AGGTCAGAGGTCACAGATGTTTTTTTATCCCAGAGGTCAGAGGTCACGGATGTTTTTTTATCCCAGAGGTCAGAGGTCACGGATGTTTTGTTTTTTTTTATCCCGGAGGTCAGAGGTCACAGATGTTTTTTTTTTATTTATCCCGGGGGGCAGAGGTCACGGGTGGTTTTTTCCCCCCCCCCCCCCCCCCCCCCTTTAGCTGGGCGTGGACGTGACCCCGGGGAGGATCCGCTGCAGTGGGCGGGGCGTCGTCCTGAGCCGCGCGCAGCAGCGAGTGTCCAGTCGCCATGGAGACCGCGGGCTGTACCAATACCTGAGCTCCGTCCGCGGCCTGGGGGGGTTCCAGGACCACTTCGACTGGTGGGGACCACACAAACCACCACAAACCTCTATCTCTCTCCCTCTATCTCTCTCTCTATCTCTCTCCCTCTCTCTATCTCTCTCTATCTCTCTATCTCTATCTCTCTCTCTATCTCTATCTCTATCTCTCTATCTCTATCTCTCTATCTCTATCTCTCTCCCTCTTTCTTGTTCTTCTCTCTCTCTCGTCCCCCCCGTCTTTTGCCCTCTCGCACTCTCTCTTTCTCTCTTGCCCTCTCTCTCTCACCCTCTTTCTTGCCCCCTCTCCCTCTCTCTCTCTCTCTGTTGCCCTCTCTCTCTTTCTCTCTCTCTTGCCCTCTCTCTCCCTCTCTCTCTTTCTCTTCCTTTCTCTCTATCTCTCCCTCTCTTTCTTGCCCTCTCTCTCTTGCCCTTTCTTTTTCTTGTCCTCCTCTCTTTCTCTCATGCCCTCTCTCCTTCTCTCTCTCTCATGCCCTCTCTCTCTCTCTGTCTCTCTTACCCTCTCTCTCTCTCTCTCCCCCTCTCTTGCCCTCTCTCTTTTCGGTCTCTCTTTCTCTCATGCCCTCTCTCTCTCTTGCTTTCTCTTTCTCTCCCTCTCTCTCTTGCCCTCTCTCTCTTTTCCATCTCTCTCTTTTCCATCTCTCTCTCTCTCTTGCCCTCTCTCTCTCTTGCCCTTTCTCTATCTCACCCTCTCTCTTTCTCTCTTGTCCTCTCCCTCTCTTTCTCTCTTGACCCCTCTCTCCCTCTCTCTCCCCTTCTCTTGCCCTTTCTCCCTCTCTCTCCCTCTCTCTCTTGCCCTCTCTCTCCCTCTCCCCCTCTCTCTCTTGCCCTCTCTCTCTCTCTCCCTCTCTCTCTTGCCCTCTCTCTCTCTCTCTCTCCCTCTCTCTCTTGCCCTCTCTCCCTTTCACTCTCTCTCCCTCTCTCCCCCCCCCCCCCCCCCCCCCCCCCCCCCCCCC